ACTTTGATCTGTGGCTTTGTGACCTTTGTAAAATCTGTGAAAAATATTATCAACAAAATGGCGGACGGGCTAAGACACTCTCACTCACCTTTTTCACCTTCCCAGGATGCATAGGGCCATACGATATTCTGTTTCCGTTATACAGTTTGTTTTTGTGTTTTAAGTGGTGTTAGAGCATTTTGTGTTCACAATTTGGTGTCTTTTGGAATCCGACCACATATAGAATGTGGAATATTTCTGTTTTCGTAGTAAACAGGGAACATGTAATGTTACTATCTACAAGCGTGGTAACATGATACCATCTGTCAATAAAAGGAGATACAACCTTTTCTAGAAATAAACAGATGTTGTAGTAAATTTATATAGAAACTAGAAAGGCCAATATTTGCTTTGGAGCAAATACAGCGATGGGTTCACCACATTTTACGACATGGCAGGGAAAGAATGAGAAACACAAGGGAAAACAATGATTTACATTGATAAAATACAACTAAAACAACAGTTGGATAGCTGTTCCCTACTTTATTGGTTAGGATTTTTAATTGCATAATGCAAACTGTTGATTTTCAAAATAAATAAAAAAACGTCCATGCCCCGCATTCCAATGCTGGAGCAGGAAAGCTTGAAATACCTACCAAAACACTTGAATACAGACATACTGTCAGTATGGAAATGCTCTGTGCAGGTGTTAATCAAGTTAAATCCCAACAGCCAATCAGCAAGAAATGCTCTGTGCAGGTGGAAATGCTCTGTGCAGGTGTTAATCAAGTTAAATCCCAACAGCCAATCAGCAAGAAGAATAGAGGAAAGCTGCATGCCTATTGGTTGATGCCCTGCATTCCATTGTGATGGCTCATGCCCAAACGTGGTAAACAAGGCACACTAACACAGTAATACATTTGCTATAACACAGCCAAAAAACTCAAATAAAACCATTCTAAAAGCCTGTATCACAATAATTAAAAAAACGCCTAGGGGTATTTGCCCACTGTACCTCCATACCAAATTTCAGGACCT